CGCTCAGAATCGTGCTTGGGACACAGTAAGAGCTGTGTAAGTGTCGGCTGTTGCTATTATTTCAGCAATGATCAAGCATTTTTCAGAAAAGGAATTTCATATGAAACATCGAAACAAGGAGGAAGATTTCTACTCAGGTTGTTTCTTTTGATCCTAACCATTTCTTATCTTGGGAATCTATCTATTTAACAGATTAGTGACAAATACATATTTATATTAATAGTGTCCTTGTTTTAAAATAACAGCTTTATTGAGGTATTCTGCACACGCCACGTAATTCACCCATTTGAAGCGCAATTCGGTGGTTTGTAGTCTATTCACAGAGCTGTGCAAGCGGAATTAATGACTTCAGTCTAGAAGAGGCTGAGACTACTACCTCGAAATTTACTCAAGCCTATCAACACCCACTCACCCTCATAAACTTCACAAACAGAGCGCTTATCATCTGACCTTAGTGCCTTGTTCCAGAGAAAGTGCCTTCCCCATCGCTTCGGCCTCTGTCAGAGGGAGCATGACTCTAGCTCATCTCTACAGAATGGAAACCTTCCCAGGTTCAAAGAGACTGTTGTCCCTGTCTTCTTCATGCCCATTACTCGATTCCTCAAGTTCTCTTTCCAACTTATTTTTCTCTGTCTGGAATTCCTACCATTGAAGACATTCTTTTAGATTAAAAGACTGTTTCCAGAACAAAGCACAACAAATATTCGACATGAATGGGGCAGTAGAAAATTATCAGTAATTGTTAGCATGAATTAGTCTATTTGATTAGCTGGCAGAGCAAGCATTCATCAGAGGGACTGGGATGAAGGACAGGCATATTCATGAAGAGGAGTGAAAAGGTTTCCAGCGCTGAGCAGTGTTCTGGAAGGGTCATGGTTGGGGGCTTTGGGAATCAGACAGCGGCAACTGGAGCCCAGAGGCCTGAGAGGGCAGACTGAGTGACCTGTGCACCTAGGGCGTGATGGTACCTACAGCAGGCTCTTGCCGGTGACATTGGTTGCCTAACCTCGGTGCTTCTGTGAACCACAGGTGTGTGCACACGTTAGCACATACACGTTTGATGGGTAATACACATGCCTGTGTTTTTCATCTCCTACACTTCAGAAAAGGAGATAGAATGGGATTTGGGCCTCATGAGAGGGAGTTCTCACACTCACAATGTAGTTGTGCTCTTGGTGCAGAAATAATAACTTGTGCATACTCTATCACCAGATGAATAATTCAGTATATAAATGAATGGACTAATTTTCATTCTCAAATAAGTATTTGGCACTTTATATAATCTTAATTTAATATGTATTTATGCTCATTACTTATTATAGGGGTAGGAACTAGGTTTTAGGAGAAGATATCATATTTTTCTTTGAATAATGGATAATGGAATTGTGCTTTGGGTTTTCATAAATTACGACATGCTGAGGTGCCTTATTTGTAGAGAAAGGAAAGCATGTTGTTAGGCATTCCTGTGTGCTTAGACCAAGTTTTCAGATTATTAAAAAGCTAATGGTAATGTCTAATATTATGTTCTTCTGAAATGAATGATTGATAATATTACTAAAAAGTATGAAAGAAAGTGATAAGCAACCACTTCTTATAGGCGCTTTGTTTTAAAATTAATCATATGGGGGCCGGCCCTGTGGCGCAGTGGTTAAGTTCGCACGTTCTGCTTCTCGGCAGCCCGGGGTTTGCTGGTTCTGATCCCGGGTGCAGACATGGCACTGCTTGGCAAGCCAGGCTGTGGTAGGCATCCCACATATAAAGTAGAGGAAGATGGGCACGGATGTTAGCTCAGGGCCAGTCTTTCTCAGCAAAAACAGGAGGATTGGCGGTAGTTAGCTCAGGGCTAATCTTCCTCAAAAAAAAAAGAATTAATCATATGAAGCATTCTAATTAGCTTAAAATGTCAATTTGTAAATACAGAAGAAAGTATTCAAAAAGCCATTTTGTAATGCCTAGTATTCAACATCTCTTCTCTGGTAGATTCTCAAATAAAAATTTACTGAGCGCTCTCCAAAATGAGTAGAGATTTGAGAGAATTATCTTGAAATAGTCAGATAGATCAGGTAAATGGTTTATTTACTTGTATTATCTGAATACCCTCATTCTTTCTTGAATCATCTTTTTTATGCTTAAGTTTAAGATGGCACAGCATAAATAATAAAAGAACATTAGGCCATGATGACATGATAATAAAGAATAATGGTTATAGGCAGCAGTTTCCAGGAACTGAAATCAAATCTGTTCAAAAGACAGCTTGACCAAATTCTGCAGCTGAAGTTGTTACTATAAGACCCCCAAAGCTCCATTCTGCTTATCTAGGGATGTTCTGTGTTGGACAAACTTTAGTTTATTTTATGTTGAGATGACTAAACTTTGTGCGTCACATTAACCGTTAAGCTTCACTCTGCTTACACAGGTGCACAAATATGTGATAACTAGGACTGTTTTTCATTCAATCAATCTTCCTATCAGTAAAGAGTATAGCAACTCTATCCTATGTTTACTCTGAAAAAACAGCAGTTTACTTAATCACGAGTCCAAAGTTCATAGATGGCCAATTCTTCATCATGGATAGTTTCATTGATCATTATCAGCTTTAATAAGCTTATAAATCTAAACACAGTGGCTAATCTGTTTTCTAAGAAAATATGTTATTCCATGAGCTAAATCAAAACTGGATGGCATTCTTTGCTCATGGCATGAATTCCTATATAGAATCTGTTGTGAAGTCATGATTGAAGGACAAAATACTAGCATAGGGGAAAATATTGCTTTCTCATTTGTTTACTTTTTGTTTGTTTTAATTCCTTTCCATTTCAACATTGCTATTTTCACTCTTTATATATTTTAAAGCGATTTTCATATTGCATTTATTTCTATTTATTAATTTTGTAGTTAATTCCCCTACATGTTTACATTTCTAGATTTAATTGTTGGAGTAATTTTTATTACAAATAGTGAACATGCAATTTTAGGGCATCCTTCACAACTTAGTCACATGGTCACAATGATCTGATTTACACCATGTCTCTCCTCAATTTCAGGATAGAACTATACTACTTTTTCTGGTGAGGAACGTTGGCCCTGAGCTAACATCTGTGCAAGTCTTCCTCTATTTTGTATGTAGGATGCCACCACAGCATGGCTTGATGAGCAGTGTATATAGGTCTGTGTCCGGGATCCGAACTTGCAAACCCTTGGCTGCTGAAGCAGAGCATGCGAACTTAACCACTTTACCACCAGGCCAGCCCCTATATTACATTTTTTTAACTAAGACTACTTTTTATTTACTCATTATTAAACATCTGAACTTAAGCAGTTCATTATGTACTCTATTACATATAAAATATATGAAACATAATTTTAAGGAAAATACTGTTTGATGTCTACCATACAATGTACACTAATGTACAATATAATGTCTAATGTGCGCTTTTCTCATGAGTCTTTCATTCTTACTTAATGTAACCTCTTTTCAGGATGGTACACGTACCCTGAACTGTGCTTCCTGATGCTGCTTCAGAGATGCTATTTCACCTCCTCCAGGTAATAACCTAGCAGCATTCCCCTGGGAAGTGCCAGGTGCGTGTGAGAGTATGGGGGCCGAGAGGGGACACCTCTGGGGATGAAGAGCTTCTCAAACAGCTTCTCCTGGATCCTCCTTAGAGTAATTCCACCCTTATCCCTGTAGTCCAGAAATGCCTGGTGCTGTCAATTCCCATGCCTTTTCAAGATTCTGGAGGGTAAACTGGGTTGGTTTTCAGTTTTCTCCACTGATTCTTTAGATTTTAACTTTCTCAGGTTTTCTAAATCAGTTACCATTCATTTGCTCTCTAGCTTCCAAACTTTTAAGTTTATATCCTTCCCAGCAAAAAATGTTTTAAAATAACATCTGAACAAAGAATGTGATGTATTTTGGGTGCATTCATTTCTTTGATCTCTAAGTTTCTTATTGATTTTATTTGCATAGCTCTGTTAATGAATCTATGTTTCGGTGCAGGGGTTCCAGTTGCAATCTCAAATGCCTGTAGGGGCCAGGCAGGTGTTCTGGCTCCTCTCATTGGACTGAAATCCTAGACAGGTCACGGTCAGAAATAATTAAAGTTTGGGAGAATCCCAGAGCATTACAACCTGGGCCTTATTTTCCATTTGGGACAACACAAGAACACTACTAACTCCAGGCCCATGGGCAGCAGTGGCAGTAGGGTAGAGATGACTTTGTGACATGGTGGCAAGATAGAGGGCCTAGACAGTCCCTACCTCCCACCCTGCTGGTTCCCCATGGTTTGTACTTCGAGGGAACAGTTGCAGAAGTTCTCATGTGTCCCCAGTGAGGAGCATGGGAAGTAGGTAAGACATGCAAGTCACGGGCATTGCCATGGGGCCATCATAGTGAGAGGCAAGGGGACAAAGCAGTGCCAGGGGCCAGATGGAGTCCATGTCTGAGATGCCAAGCATCCCTGACTCCAGGGAAGGCTAAGCTCCACACCTTTGGAGGTGGTGGTAGAGCTGGGGTTGTTGGCTGGTCCCAACTATGTCGAGACAACAAACCATGGATTCCAGCAGTGGATACAAGCAGGGCCCCCGGAGACCAGCAGTCTCTCCCTTCCTCAGGAGGTCCAGGAACCTGTCTCCTCTTGGAGACGCCATCTTGGGAAGGAGGAGGAGGCGATAGTGAACCTTGAGCACAAAGAAACAGGCTTGATGGAGTCTGGACCTTGAATTCAACTAAATATCTGAAAGAGATATTTCAAATGAAAGAGACTATTTCAAAGCAAAAGAAACTTTTAATTTTTTTTAAACTGAAAGAGACTGAATTACCTTTAACTGGCAAATTTCAATGCTCCTCCTATCGGCAGAAATGGTGGGCTCATGAGAAAGAATACATGAGTTATAAAAACTAAAGAAGCCACATTTTTCTTAAAATACCTGAGTTGTTAGAATACATGTTAAGATATGATTGGGCCCTCTTGCTGGAATGTTGATTTTATCTGCATTCATTGAGTGCCACTTCATCAGGTATTTTAAAAACGCTTTATGTATTTATTACGTATGTTGCATCTAGTGGTATAATTGTTTGAGTATGAAACTAGAGAAATCCAGGGTATTTCTCCCTGCCATGCACTATAACAGTTAAAAAAGACTGCAGGTTGTGTTAGAATACGAGATTGTCATTTGGTATTTACTACAATTGCAAAATCAACTTGTTAAGGAAAAACAATTAGACTCCCCCAAATATCTCGATGTTCTGGTGTTTGATGGTCGTAATATAAATGTAAATTGTGGAGTATGACATACAAAAAAAATTATCGCTTTAAATGTCATTAAGTTATTGCTAGCCCCAAAGAGAAAAAAATTGCAAAAATAGCTGAATGTATGTTCCTGTGACTGCAGGCATTTGCTTTCCATTCCTTTTACCTCTGAACACAATAAGATAAACGTCTAAAAGTCTAGATTTGGAGCCAACAGTTTGCTATACTTTTGCGCAAAGCCATTAACGTCGTCCCGTGCAGCGTGCGTGGGTGAGTGAGGGGGTGCTCCCGTCTGCATAAGACTTAAGCCCGGGGATAAAGGGTGACTGTGTCGTAGCCCTCTGGGGGCCTCGTGCGGGCTCGCGCATGCGTTTCGCAGTACAGCTCCCCCTCCACGAAGAAGTAGCCCTTTTGTTTGAGGTTGAGGTTGCAATCAGCACACACGAAGCACTCGGGATGCCGGTACTTATCCCGGGCCTTCACAACGGCACCCCTGGGGAGGAAAAGGAGAGCCAGTGAAAAACACAAAGCCAAAAAACTTGATACAAAGGGAGACACTACAGAGAAGGCAGGAGTTATGCGTTTCACGTTCAGGAAACAGCAGCCTCCAGCTGTAAAACCGGGCACAGCTGGAAAACTGATGTAATTGTCAGGGAGATCCAAGACCACCATAATAAGCCGTCAGGCGTTTCTCTCTGATGTTGACGTGTGACTATTTTTCAAACAGACCCGTTGATATAAAAATTAGAGAATTTTACAACATGATCTTTCCCCATAGTTTCTTTGAAGAAGGGAGACAAGATACAGATAAGACAAATACTTCTGCAAAGGGTTCTGATTTTAACCACAGGGTTCTGTCTGCACAACTATAAGTCCCTCCAGTTGGTTTCTACCTTGGTGGTCTAGCCTCTACTCTATGGAGCACAGAGAAGACAGATTAAAGAGCAGAGATGGAATTTGCACCAGGTAGATGGACTCGCCTCCACTGTCAAAGCAGTTTACTCCACCTGAGGAGCAAGAATTGCTTTGGTAACATCATGAACTATCATATTTTATGAGGTCTTCTCTGCTCCCCAGTGCCCTGTCCTGTTTATTTCTCTCTGTCTCATATTCCGCTCTTTGTTCCAACTGGGCTTGTCTCCCACTGCCCTCCTGGGCTTTATCCTGATAACTGGACAGATGAGGCCTCAGTGTGTGAGCTAATGATGGAGGAACAGAAGAAAGGGATGGGAAAAGTAGCTCGTAGGGCATTTGCAGTGGAGGGGCTGAAATGATCTGGTCCACTTGAATGTTTGAACTAGGAAGTGGGGGCTATTCAAACAGAGAGGGCCTTGAAATGGAAGCTGACTGTATTTTTAAAAATTATGTTTCAATATTTGTGCAATTTAAGAAACTGGGTAAAGAGAATGTGTTTTAATTAACAACCTGATGCCTCCTGTATTTTGTTTCCCTGTGTTTATATAGAAAAGGAAATACTCAAGGACTATACATTAACAAAGGGAGGGCTTTTTGAAGTCAAGTTATGAATCTTGGAAATGACTTTTTTAATATACTTCTGGGGCAATCTTTTAAAAATGAGATTATATCTGAAATTATAAGTCAAGACTGCCAACTCACATTCTATGCCAATTTTAGGGTACATCTAAGGAATTCTGGTCAAAATCTGCTAAAGGTGGCAGACGTTGTATTTCAAGTCAATGAAACGAAATAGAGACAGGATATCAAGACTTAGAGTGAATTCCTGGGTTAAAAATGAAACTTACACAATGCCACTCCCACATTTGTCACAGAACGGCATCTTTTGTGTGCTGCCAGCACCACCGTGGACTTTTGTAACTGGAGCTCTCACACTCCGAGTTCCAGCAGGACGGTCATCTGAAAAAGAAAGTGTTTCCATTTATGGCCAGGAACAGCTGGCTGCGGTCTGTACTCTGCTTCTATTTTAAGGTGTGCACTTTAACCTGAGGAATTCTGAAGTTGCACCCGTACTATCATTTCAAAACAAGCAGGACCAGTTCAAGCGTAATTTGTTCTGAAACAGAGCCTTCCAAAACAGAATTAATTAAAAGTTTTTGTTGTTGTTGTTGTTGTAGGGAGCTGTTACAAAAATGCTCAAGGGAGCAGAGAACATTTTGCACTTTTGTTGTTATGGTAAAATATACATAAAATAAAATTGACCATGTCAACCACTTTTAGGTGTGCAATTTAGCGGCATTAAGTACTTCACATTGTTGTGAAACCATCACCTATATCCATTTCCAGAACTTTATCATCATCCTAAAGAGAAACTCCATCCCCATGAGACAGTAACTCCCCATTCCTTTCTCCTCTCAGACCCTGCCAACCTCAGTTCTACTCTCTGTCTCTCTGACTTACCCATTCTATATTTCTCATGTAAGTGGAATCATACAATATTTGTCTTTTTGTGTCTGGCTTGTTTCACTTAGCATGATGTCTTCAAGGTTCATACGTGTTGGAGCATGCATCAGAATTTCCTTCCTTTTTAAGGCTAAATAATATTCCATCGTGTGCACGTACCACATTTTGTTTATCTATTTATCTATGGATAGACATTTGGGCTGTTTCCGCCTTTTAGTTATTGTGGATAACGTTGCTATGAACATTGGTGTACAGTATCCGTTTGAGTCCCAGCTTTCAATTCTTTTAGGTGTGCTGGATCACACGGTAAGTCTATGTTTAACTTTTTGAGGAACTGCCATATTGTTTTCCACAGTGACTGTACCATTTTATGTTCCCATCAACAATGCACAAGGGTTCCCATTTCTCTACATCCACGTCCTCACCAACACTTATTCTACTTTTTTTTTTTTGGTGAGGAAGATTCATCCTGAGCTAACATCCGTTACCAATCTTCCTCTTTCTTCGCTTGAAGAAGATCAGCCTTGAGCTAACATCTGTGCCAGTCTTCCTCTATTTTTTGTACGTGGGATCCCTCCACAGCATGGCTGATGAGTAGAGTAGGTCCATGCCTGGGATCTGAACCTGTGAACCTGGGCCACCAAAGTGGAGTGCATGGAAATTTAACCAATTGGCAACACAGCCAGCCTCTATTATCCGTTTTTTTGATAATAGCCATCCTACTGGGGCATTTTACATTTTTGTGCAACTTTTAAAGGCCAATATATTTGGGGGGAGGGGTGGAAAAATTGGTAAAAGTATGAGCTCAGAAGACAGCAGGAGTGGACTGGAGACCCAGCTCTGCTTCTTACAGGATGTGTGACTTTGTATAAATCCACCCCCTCTATGCCTCAGTTTCTCATTTGTTAAATAGGGAAAATAATAGCTCCTCACCTCACAGAGTCATTGTGACGATTAAATGATCACGTGTGCAAAGTACTTAGCACAGGATTTGCAACATAGGAATGGTTTAGTATGGTGTTATTTTTAAATTTTGATGATGACGATACCCTGGAGGGTGGGGGAGGCTGAGAAATTTTGCAATATCCACTTAAAACTCTACTTTAAAATTTATGAGCTGAGCTAGCCCTTGACTACTGTGGATAGAACTTATCTTTGGTGCTCTTTTAACCACCAAGCTGGTAGCTACTTGGATACGTCCTGGAAGCTCCTTTCCTAAACCAGGTACGACCCAAATCCTTGTGAGCAAAGATTCATTTGATTACAGCTTAAAATCACCACTTTTTAGACCTTCCTTCTCAGTATGTTTGCTGTCCTCCCCTCCCCGACCCTTCCCACAGCCTCTGGCAGTGCTGTTTCTGCAGACGTTCACGGCTGCTCACCATCATTAACGAGTTCCTGGAGCACTCTGAAGGAGCCTGACTGGCGAGGCTGAGTGGGTTCATCCCGATTGTCATGGAGCATCCGGTACACGTCTGACTGGGGGGGCACCGAGGCAACAGGTTCACTGAAACAAGATGGCGGGCGAGGCAGTGTCAGAAGAGTTATGAGGCACCAGGTGTGCAAGAAGCCACAAGACATCAATAAGCAGTAATCACTATATTTACAGCTACTCTTCTGTTCTTTCAAGTTAATCTCTATTATAGTCAGAAACATAAATTAAATTCACATGGGTTGCCTTAAAAATACCATGAATTCACCCGGGGATCACATCAGCACTTCTCCATTTGGCAAAATACTTTGGAGGGCAATTAAAACGTGATTGTTAGGAAATAGTAACTTTAAAAAATAACACTTGTGTCTGATGGATATACAATTATCAGGTGAACCAAATTAACTTTTCTCAGAAAAAAGACAACATACACATGAGAGAAAGTGCAGGAGTGAGCCCCGTTTGATTATTCTCAGTCATAAAGTTGTCAATAAAATTCAGATTCATTTCTGATATTAAGCTAAACGTATACGGTTTAATTTTGTTTTTAAGGTTAATTGGCTCTGTTAACTCCTGGGAACAACCAAGATATTTTGCTTGTAAACTGAGAAAATTCAACTCGTCAGTGTTTGAAAGCACATTAATGTAGAAACTTTCACATATACCTCAGTTATATTGACTACACTATATTTTCTAAATAGCCACATGATAATTCATTTACCACAATGACAGCAGCTTTATTTTAGTAAACTTTCTACAAGTATATTCATAATGAGCTATTAAAAAAAAGCCATAATAAGACTACATGTCAGGCACTAAAAGTTTTATTATTTTATGCCATTTAGTTACATTATCTATAAAAGATAGTTGCTATTTGCACACACTTTTTATTATCTATATCATATTTGGAATAATTATCTTATCTATCTGCAATTACTTGCAAGGTGGCTTTGAAATTCATCATGCTGTTATTTCATTGTATTCATCCCGAGAGATATCTTTGAGATATTGTTACACAGCACTCTTAAGCATTATAATACATTAATTTATACAAAGTGGTTCTGTAATATTGAAAGATGTAATAAGATTTTATCTTATAATGAATCTTTTTAATTGAAAACGCTCGATGGCAAAAGTACTTTGAACAAATATTCATACTAAAGAAGAAATTTGTCAAAATAGAGAGTGATGGAAATTAGGTATCTACATTAATAGCTTGAGGTATTCACTTATTAAGCCCTTATTCATGGCAAAAAACTTTAAATGGAAAAATAATTACCTCTTCACAAGATGCCATTAGAAGAGAGAAAAAGTATCTCTTTTAAAACTCCTCTGAACGTATAATCCGTTTCCCAAGTTTTGACCCCCAAAGGGGAGGCAGTAATGCTAGATTATAAATCACTTTGTTTTTTGGGTTTTATTTGGTGAGAAAGATTGGCCCTGAGCTAACATCTGTGCCAATCTTCCTCTATTTTTTTTTCATATATGGGACGCCACCACAGCATGGCTTGATGAACAGTGTGTAGGTCCATGACCAGGATCGGAACTCATGAACTGGGGCTGCCGAAGCGGAGCACACTGAACTTAACCACCATGCCACTGGGCTGGCCCCTATAAATCACTTTTGAGAAATATTGTACCAGACATTTGTAAAGTACATTGTAGCTTTTCAAAAGACATATACACTTTGTCCTTCCATGATTTCATTTTATTGCAATCTGTCACATAAAGCTCTACTTAGTTAATTTTTCAAGTCACCTTTATCATTAGGCAATAAACCCTTAGCGTTTTTTTCTTTAAAGCTTTTCACATAGCTTCCTTTCAATTAAGACATATGTTAAAAGACATCAGTAAAGTTCACACTGCCCATGTGTTTAGTTAACATGCCCATGGTTCAAAAAGACTCATATTACCTCATTGAGGGTGCTTCCCCTAGAGCTGTTGAAACCTGACCCTGAAGTGTTTCCATAATATTGTCATCTGAGTACAACTGCATAGGTGTATTAAACTGTGCATGTACAATCTTCACACCAGGAAGTTCCATTTCCAAAGGAATGTTAGGGGCCATCTTAGCAGCAACTTTCAAGTCACCTGGGCAAATAGTACTAAGAGTACTGACAGAAGAAGGGGTGCTACGTCCACTGCCACCGTCAATACCGGACGGAGTACTGCATCCACTGTGTTAATGACCACGTCACACAGAGGTGACACAGGAACCAGAAAATCCAGACAGAACACAGAAAACAAGTACAGAGAGGTTAGAAGGAATTGAAGACAAAAAGTAAGAGGTGAATTCAATCAAATTAAAACTTAATGTTTATTTTTGCCTAGGATTTATTTTAAAGAGGGAAGATGTTTAAAAATTCATTATGGAAAACAGTTTAACAAAATTAAAAGGGACTGGTGATGCTGCATTTTTTGGCTCTCTTTTCCCAGGCGGTATGTAAGTTGAGGGTTGCAGGTAGAAAGAGTTGTATATAAACAAGTAGAGAAGATGCGACTGTCATCACTTTTTAAAAACAGGCCAAATATGCTAAACTCAACAGTATCCCAGACAAACGATGCAGGGAAATCACATTGGCTGGACATCCTTTCACATTTCCGAGATGCAATATTTAAAATGAAAACATTAGTGAATGATCCTTCACTAATAGTAACTGAATATGCAGCCTGAAGATCCAAATATTTAGACGCAACATTTCAAAGTAAGAAGTATGTTTTAGAAATGCAGTTGAGTTTTAATGAAATAATAATTGGCCACTTGTAGGTTATGTGATGGAGACTATGTTTTAAGACTATTTTGCCGATGTTTAATTGTTACTATTTTAGCTTTTTCTATTTTCATTCTTTAATTTTGTGAAGAATACACTTTAAGAAATTGTTCCGTGATTTAATACATGCTCTAGAAACAGCCAATAAATGCTTGTCATCTTGAAATTAATGATTAGAGGACAAATAAGGGGATTCTGGATGCTACTAAGGGCTAAGATATATTTCTTTAATACGTAGCTATTTCATGTAAAATTTGGGGAGCACACATATATTTCCATGCATATTTCTCATTTTCTTTTAAAGCCAAGTTGAGGGGACATATTACACACGTCAGAAAGGCCAGTCATGCAATTTGAAAGACAACTAGGGAGAGCTCATGTTCTCTAGAAAGCTGGATAGGCAACTAGTCACTGATATGACAATGACTAAAAAGTCAGTTTTCCATGTGCATTTTAAGTGCATATGAGAAATGTATTTTACAAGAAAATGGAATATACTGAGGTTTTTTTTTTTTTAAAGCACAGTCATTTAAGACAAAGCCAAAAGAAATATTAGTATTAATGTTAACATCTATCATGCCCGTCAGTTAATGCTATCAACTCAAGACAGAGAATAATTTGTATAGCGTGTTTATCTCAAAGTCAGTATTCTCTTAGGGTTCAAGTATGCCCCCATATCTGCACTTACTCTCTACAGCTGCTAATGCTAACCTCAGCCACACAGAGAGAGCAAAACCCAAAGGATATTGGACATTGATTTTGTTGGCTTCATCAATGTTGCACCCTGATTAATCTGGACAACTCAAGTCACTAAATGGGTTTTTAAAATTTTTCTGTCTTGTGTTATCCAGTTCAACCATCTGCACAGCCTAAACGAAGCAGGTAAATATAGACTTGCTCCTTCACTTCCCGGCTGTTGAGAACCCGTTTAAAACTCAATCTGTAAGTTGGTTGATTGCACACAAAAATGTCAAGTGGCTTATTCCCCATTTTCATAGGCTCAACTCTATGCTGGCTCTGGAAATTGACTTAAGTTGGTAAAAGAATAGAGGTAAAATTTCTATTATAGTGCAGCTTAGGCAGGATGATATCGATTTAGCCTAAGTATAGTGAAGCTTATTAAATTGCAATTTAGGGATTTGAAACACTGAGTTAAATCTTGGGAGACTGGGGCTAAATAATGAATTTTTTCAACAAGCATTGATAACCACTCTGACCTTTTGTAGGCCATGCACAGTGCTAGAAGGTAGCCAGATAAACCATGGTCAGTTCAGAACTTACAGACATACCTTATTTTATAGTTGCAGTTAGTAATCTTTTTCTGTTATTAGTGTTCTTGTAGACATGCATGTTTGTGTATCTAAGTTTAAGCGAAGACTGTGTCTTCTGTTTCCTACTTTATCATTCTGTTTAGGGACCATGTCTATTGAATGGATAGGAAATAAATCCTAAGCTAACAAGAATTGCTTTTTTATAAATTTTTGGGACAACTTTTAAAAATCTCTCGAACTGATGCTTTAAATGAAATAGTTTTCACAGACTCCAGTCACTGTGGATAGCATCGTGGGTCACCATGACCTATTTCTGTGACTTGGAAAGGTAAGTACTAATGAGATTTCTTGAGGTTGGCTTAGTGACTTGGCAAGACCACCTGTAAGGTTGATGATACACTCAGTTACTTTGGCTGGATAGACAGAGGCAGAGGACTAAATTCCCTGGTGTGTGTACAGAATTTTGGGGACATGCCTTTGGAAGTCACTTTCCATAAATCACTCCCAGGATTGTATTTTATCATTTGAGTCTATAAATTACCTTGTACATATTTTTAATTATAGCTTTGGCTTTAAAAATTTACCTAACTGCATATGAAAATACTGGTCTTTTAATATGCTTTGGTTGTAATGAAATAATTAAAAGAACATAACTAATAGTAAGACTCCAAGGAGATTAACATATTAATAACTTAGCATCTCCAACTTACTTCTGATTAAAAAGTTGTTCATTAATGGTGTAGGTATAACGTGGTATGTAGCCACTCAAAATTCCACCTTGATGAAGAATCATTTGGTAAGAACAAGAAATTCAGAAGCTAGAGCAAATAGTGAGGGGGGCACAGGAAGAAGGGAAAGATAGTAGAGGCAATTCTTTAAGATTTGTATACTGGTATGTGTTTTTTGAGCAAATCCTCTCATCCCTGTTTCTCTTCTCCCCTCTTCCAAATTCAGCTATACTGAAAGGCATCTTACAATGACAAAATTAGGAGTTGCTTGTCAGTATCACCATGTTTGAATTAAAATGAAAATATAAAAGAAGGGCCTTATATACCTGAGTCTGACTTTCCCTCAATTTTTATATAACTGTGTTCTTGGTCTTTAGCAAAGGCAAGATACATGTTCCTCTAATCTACCATTTTATTGGCGCCTCCTGAAGTCCTATAGCTCATGTTGGTGAACCGACACTTACGCCAACCTCAAAAGAATGCAAGCATGTTAATTTTACTCTGCTTCTTTAGGAAGTTGTATATATATTTATTCAACAGTAAAGCAGCATTTTAACTTTCAATCTGGTGTTGTTATGTTATTGGGAGTGGGGCTGGGAAGCTGTTGAATGTAGAGAAATAGGGAAAAGATGCAGAGGAAGATGGAATGGGAATAAGGGAAAAAAACAGAAGTAAAAAAGAATGGTGCAGAGTTGCAAGTATGAGGGAGGGATGATAGCTCCTGGTTCCTCTTGCACTCAGGAAACATTATTAGGTATTCTTTGGATTTTGTTCCTTTAGCTAATGAACATTTATTGAGCATTACTCTGTCCCAGCCTCATTCTCGGTGCTGGGGATATAAGGTGCTTACAGATAAGTGAGGGAAGATGTGTTTGGTGGTCTTTGCCTTTTTAGCATCTTTCTCCTGCTCTTCCACTGCATTGCTTTCTCCGGGTGTAATAACACAAAATTGTCAGGCTTATTTTGAGGTAATCCTCTGGCCCCAACTCTAGCTTATGGAAAAGTCTGCACTTGGAAATCATATGTCAAATGTTGACTGACCATCTACAGCAGGCTTCATAAACTCAGACGTCCCCAGGGCTAGGAGAGTCACACATATATGAAAATGGGCCAGGCATCATATGCTTAGGAGTGATGGCATTTTGACTAGATGGAGAGTAGATGTTCCATCCTAAGGCACTTAAGTTCAGTTTTGTAAAACAACAGGAGAGTTAAACAAAACATTATCTGTGAATTGAATCCACCACGAGCAAATAGTTTGGGACACCTGATGTAGATCATTATTCAGTGATCCTAACCTGGTAGGATCAATCCAGCCTAACCACTGACTTCCTTCCCTTGGGCTGACTGATGTAGCTGAGGTCCGAGGAATGGGTTTGAGGTTTCCTGAAGTCGCTATTTCCAGAGGTGGCAATACAGGGCATTAATTTCTTCCCCCTTAGGTTGGAGTTCAATTTCTAGACACGATATTTGAAGAGGCTCATCCGAAGATGATCTGTCTCTCTGATTGACAGACGACAATGAAGAGCTTGCTCATTATTATTCCAATGTGTACACAGTACTCCCTGAGGGCAACAATGTATCTCCCTTCCTCCCAACTCTTTCTTGACATTTATTTTCCCCCAAGTAAACAAGTTCCTTTTCAAGTGGCCTCTCTTCCTTTGCGAGTATCTCTAAGAATGCAAATTAATTTTTATGTACGGGCTAGAATGAGTGGGGTTACCCTTGGGCTCTGACAGCACAGCAAGAAGCAGGTGCTGAGGACCATCAGAGTCTGCCAACACATGTAAAGCGACACCAGCATTCCCACGGGTGCCCCACCTGCTTCCTTACTCCTGACTCAAGGCTGGTTTCCATTTCTGTGCCCGCTGGCCGGGCCTCCCTGACCTGGGACGGGGTGCGTCTGCCTGCCTCAAAGGTCACTGTGTTCTGCATGGGATCCTCCGAGTAGCAGGGGTATTAGTTATAAATATATGTGCTGATTGCATAACATTTCACACCTCTATAGTCTTGTCAATATTTACTCTCAGAAATAGAGGTTAGTTGGCTACTCTCCTAAGCGAGTTTGTTTCTTTTGCTTTTGAAACAAGCTTCAAAATGAGAAAAGTCACTCCAAACACATAAAAGTTACTTTTCCTGGTGATTAGTAAGGATTTATTAAAGAAGCATGCACTCCAAACTTCACAATCTCAAAGTTTAGGACCTGCTTCGGCCTGGGATTATGAAAGGTTTGGGCCGAATATTGTGCTTGTGTTCAAAGTAGTTCACATCCTGTAAAAACAAAGGGTTAAAAAGTCCCTCAGTGGAAGATGAATATACGTTTTTAGATAAAATTAAGGGAATGGTAATTGTACAGAGGGGATTATTTACCACCAAAGATCGACATGACTAACAAGGGCGAGAATGGAACCAGAGCCATTTCTTCGTTATAACCATCTATTCACTAAATGCTCAGGAGCTGGCGGGTTGGACTCTAGAACATTAGAACCATGTTCTAGATGCCGGTCTTTAAAATAAGAATCTGATAGTGCCTTCCGGAAAGTAAAAACGAAACAGCAAGAGCTGGACTTTCGAAAGGAAAAGAAATCGTCACATCACTGTTAAGAACACGGTGGTCGGAAACCGAGTCTGATACTTACTGTTGAGGTGAACTAGGAATGAGACCCCGCAGCTGTCCGTGAAGTGCGTCTTGTATATTGCTAGTTGAATAGAGCCCAATTGGTGAGTTATAGGAAGCGCTCACTACCTGTCTTTTGTCATCAATGTTTGCTGCTGCAACAAAAGGCTGGGCCCTTCTGTTGTGGGCGGTACCAATGGGTTTGAACTCCTGTACAATGGCAGACAAAATACACAGAGCCACAGAATGCACAACAAAGCCGTTAATGAGCAAACCAACAGCATCGCTTTTGTTAATCAAGGCCTCTTAACCCACTATGAGATTAATGGCAAGGTTAAAGAAGGAGTTAGGTATAAACCTTTCTATGTTTTCCTTCCGTGAAATTTACATGTGCTATATTCTCCCACCAAATGTTAAGGTGCAAAGGAATTGACTGTATTTAAAATATTGTAAAATAATTCAAAAATTCTATCTTTTGTCTGCCCCCTGCTGTCTTCTACATCTATAACTTTTAAGAAATTCTCATATGCCTTGCTTGAATACAGAAATTTTGTGGCAGAAAGGAGATTTCTGGCTTAGAAAAATGATTGTACTTAACATTTTTTAAAGTAGAACTTACATAGGCTTTCTCTTCTATTAGTATCTTAAAATTTCCTCCATTTTAGGAAATGGAGGAATAGAACAGAAAGGGAGTGAGCATTTATGAATAACTACACTGAATCATTTTAACTAATCCAAGGAAAAATTCTATTTTTTCTTCGTACCTACAACAGAAAAACAAATTCTTAATTTGGCTTAGGTTATAACCTTAAATGTAGAAAAAAGAATAAGAATTAAAAGACTTTTTTCTTATGAAAGCAGAAATAACATTTCTAGAACCCCTCCCCCATTTATTTTTGTGATGATTTCATGTTTGCGTTTAAAGAACTCTTTATGTTTACTCTAGTCTCAGAAACACTAAAGTCAGTAATGCAGAGAGAGCTAATGTATTTGATTCACAAAAGGATTTTCACTTTATTGCTTTGGGACAAGGACCAAACATCAGAGTTCTGAATTCTGAGTTTGAAATATGCCTGAGTGATCTGAAGCTTTCTATTATTGTTATTTATTTATTATTGTTTTAGAAGTGATAGCAATGTGTTTAGTGAGTGCCTCTGGGTCATCATTTTTTTCTTTGAGGAAGATTGGCCCTGATCTAACATCTGTTGCCAATCTTCCTCTTTTCGCTTGAGGAAGATTGTCGCTGAGCTAACATCTGTGCCAATCCTCCTCCATTTTGTATGTGGGATGCCGCCACAGCATGGCTTGATGAGCGGTGTGTAGGTCCACACCTGGGATCTGAACCTATGAATCCCAGGCTGCCAAAGCAGAGGATGAGAACTTAACCACTATGCCACCTGGCCAGCCCCTATATTATTATTTTTTAACGTAGGATCAGATGTTTTCCAATTTTTACATTGATTTATAATTTTGTAAAGTCATTCTATATGTTTTTTCTTCTAAGCAACAGAAGAAAACCAAAAGGGAACACTAAAACACACACGAGCTGATTCTCTTTCCAAATCTTTTCATTTGGCAGAATTAGTAAGATAACTCTTTACAGCAATATTTTCGCTTGCACATTCACAACTTCATTTACTTTTGTGAACGTGCCACCAGTGTTTCACACAGATTTCAAATAGTACAAACATTTATGATTGTTTGAAATGGTATTGGAAAGAGACTGTTTTTATTAAAAAAATAAAAAGATCCTGCAATATCCTTGCTCAGGTCTTTTTGACAGTTTTGTCATTAGAGATGAGTAAGTTGTGGGATGGTGCTTTTTTGTTAGAAAAGAGACTGACTCCCTTTCTCAGGGGTGGAACCAGAGCTTCGCTTAGAGACTCTTGTGCCTGAGAACACCAACAATTTCCTGGGGTCCAAGCAGCAAAATGCTTTCTTCTGGTTCTCCAGAGCAGGCAGTCCCCACACATACTCCCTATTCCACCATCTAGGCCTATTGGCGAAGCCCTCTTTTTTTTTTTTTTTTTTTTTTAAATAGTTATGAGAAAGCAAATGATGTGTAGCTTCAAATACTAGCCTACTGAGTGTTTCACTCCAGCTCCTCAAGTCTCAGGGTACCTGAAAACCTGCGATGTGGTAAAGAGCAGCTTTTCTCTCATCGCCCTTAACAGTGTGTTTTAACAGCTTCCAGAACTTGAAAAGAAGGTCTGAGTTGAACACAATAGCTTATGCTTCTAGAGTGTGATTGAATTGACCAATTTTTTTCCTCCAGAATAATGGCTCACTGCCTAGGGGTTGGTTGTGTGATAATACCGTTGCTGATATTAGACAGCAGCATGACTCAAACCACCAAATGTGGCTTTCGAAAAATGCTAAATCCCGGAACATGCGAAAATGTGTGTAGTCAAACATTTATAAAGAGGTACAATCAGATTGTTTTGGCTGATTTAATAATGAGTTTGGATTGGCTGTGTTATATGATTAACTATTATAATTAGCCATTATTATGGCATGAAAAAAGTGAACTGGAAATAATTATAAATAATGACAACAGCCATGATTCAAGCCTTTGTTGACCTTTTTGATATGAAAGAAGACAGAAAACTAATTGCCTAATTTAGTTTTGATGGATTATAAACCTCTAAGGCTAATTATAAGAGTGAATCAGGCAGGACTGAAGAACTCAAGTTTTGTGGAACTTAGCTTTTTTTTTAATAAAAAAACCAAAGTATGATATGCCTTAAACATCTTGATAAATAGAATTGAATTTACAAAAATTAACATAATATGATGGCTTTATGGGAAAAAAATCTCTGCCCTTATTTCTTCTTAGTCTTAAAATGGTAAATAAACATGGATGGTGATTGTCCTGTGAATGAGGCAACTTCTTTGAAAATATTTGTCCACTATAATCTCTAGTAGAACTTCCAAATAGCAGCACACAAGTTAATTAGCTCCAAGCTTTTTCTTTGCCATTTTCAGTTTTGGTTATATATTGCAAAGATCACAAATGTGTAATTTGTTAAAAAGAAAAAAATAAAACCCTCTATTTTCTACTCAGATCATAAAAGGAAATGTTTTGAATACAGGCTTCAAACATTTGTATTTAGGCTTTGCAAAGCATTAGTTTATGGGCTGCTAGAGTCATTCCAAAAAGCACGATGAAGTGTATACACCAACGGTAAACGAAAACTTTAAGTATGGCACAGAGAGGCAACATTCTGTCCAAGACTTACATCATTGCTGATGGTCAAACAGCATCAAAAGACAAAACCAATTAGCAGTTTGCTATTCCACTTTTATTCCTTTTTATTTTTTCCTGGAAAATCATTAGTAACTGAAAATACCAGCCAAAAATTTATATAGTAGTTAATACAGTCCAGCTCTTGTGTTTATTCTACCCAGACAAAAGCATCCAAACGATTCTTATCTCTTAAGGAATTCAATACGTCATCATTGCAATTAATTACACTTTCAAATATTATTTTTAAGTGTTAGGAGCTTGTCTTAAGGAATAATATTTTGAATTAATGAAATGCTAGAGGTGCCAGAGTAAAAGCTAAGGAACTTGACAGAGATCTACTGACATTGGGAGAATGCAGCTCTGCACAGCAATCCCCCAAGCCCTTGGCATGACCTCAGCCAGGACGGCATTCAAAGCCAGTTCACCTTCAATTTCTTACTTGGAGAAATTGTCCACAGAATGAGATTCAGTCCAAGAACTGAGGCAATTACCAGCTCCAACAGAAATCACATGTTTGATAATATACATATATAGCTCTTTATTTTTAAGAAAAAATAGTTATGAAGTTATGGAAATAAACATATCAAGTGATCATATATTTGATCAAGCCACACTGAGTAAACGATTCTATTTTATCACGTTTGGAATTTATGAACAATCGCTGCCCCCACTTAACCCCCCCTGCTATGCTCATTCCTTGAATGCAAAATAAAGTCACTCTTATAATTATTTCTTCTTTAGTGATCTGTTTCAAGTGTTTCCCCTATCTCATTGGGGCAGAATTTGGGCAAATGGGGATTAAGAGCTTGTTTTGTGTAGGCTGCCTTCCAGTTATGGAAACATTGTAGAATAAAATTGTATTATGAAAATATAAGCAGCTTCAACCCGTAGCTCACTTGACTGTGCATGTAGTACATCTTTATGATGAAATGTTCTATGCAAGGAGGCAATCATTTATATGGAAAAGGAAATAGCTATCTTTTCATTTAGAAGGAACCATTTTTATTTCTGAAAAGCATCTTTCCTGTATTGTGAAAGCTACATTATAATTTTGAGTTGTTCAATTAACATTAAACAAAGATGAGGATAATGTTTCGTTTGAGAATGTAAGCTTTGAAAAAGGACAAAGAACTCTAACAACATACCTGAAGTCTGGAGCAATGCTTTGTATAGAAAAGCACCTATGTCTGCTCATAGGCCACGTTCAAGATTGTATGGAAGAGGTTTATTCAGTGGCTGGGGTTGATCTAAACAACCCCTAAACTTCCTTTTAAGCCTAAGATTTGAGTCTAAATTCATAAAAACAAAATTTAACTATTTAATAATAGCATACAAAAAGGAAAAAAAAGCTAGATATTAAAATTTTGTAAAATCAATTATTACTATAACTGGATGAGACAAAGTCCCCCAAACTAAACCTATGCACAGGGAAAAAGACCAGAAATAAATACACTAACAGTTTATTATTTGTGGCTGGGCTTGGATGGTAGGAGATAGTGGAGTTTTTTTTCAATGAATATATATTACTTTTAAAGTGAAAAAGAATATTTTATTCTAATAGCAAAGGTCACAACTTACAACAGAAGTTTGGCTTGGGTTGAGAAACGAGAACTCAAAGATTGTATTGCCCCACGGCATTTTGCCGTTCGTCTACAATGGCGTGTTAAAGCATGATATATTAAGGGCATTCTATTCTCAGACTGACACACTTCTGTTGTCCAGAAAGTTGCTTTATTTGCAGAGTTCTCATTTGGGGGGAAAAAAGAGGCATCTCTTTGCATAGCTTTGTGTTAATTAAAAAAAAATACAAGAAGAATACAAACATAACCACTATTTAGCTTTTCTTTAATTTCATTCTACAAGTTAAATTCACTGCTTGTTTTTAATCACTGCTTTTTGTTCTGGTTTATGCCATAGGATTTTCAGATAGCAGAGGCTGGGCTGAAATGTAGCTATTTGGTGCAGGGAATGTCTGTCCTGAAGTGCCAAGTTACATGGACTGGTCATGCAGAAATCTGGCCTGAGGATGATGGGGAGTAGGAATCCTCTGGTCCTTTAGGGGAAGAACCGAAATGATTCTTATCTCTGAGCCCTTCAAACACCAGCCTCTTGGAGAGGGTGCCGGTGAGAATTGGTCATGATTCACACTAAAGGAATGTTCAAAGGCTCCATCTGCCTGGCTTCTGAGGCCCTTAACCCAATCTTCACCTTTTTTTTTTTTTTTTTAACCTATTTCATTCTTTATCTTTTCCCCATTTGTAATATAAATATCCATATTGTCTAAACCCAAAATTTAGGACACATGGGCTAATACATGATTGACAAGAGGCCACAGTATTTAAAATTAGCATTATCTTTTAAAATCCAATTCTTGGAATAACCATAGTCATAAATTAATACTCATAGATTTACACAAGGGGCCTTTTAAGAGGTCCTTAAACTCTGATTCTGGAGAGACATAGCAAAACACAAGAACCCATCTTGGTGTAAGCTCCCCTTGTGCTTAGTAAATTCTGGCTGGGTCACCCACATGAGAGTGTGGGTGCTGCAATAGGATCAGGGATCATTGGGGATTTAGTACTTTGGTCAAATCTGTCTAATTGCCCCATATCTTAGCATCTCCTATTGATGAAATTGGATTTTAAAAATTTGGAGAAATTTTGAATGGAAAAACAATTTGCAAAAGGGGGCAGTCCAATTTTGGATGTGTACTGTATACAGAAAAGGAAATTGAGAATTCTATCCAGTTTGTCCTGGTGATAATAAGAGATTGGTGGTCAATAAATGCATGTATGTGAGCCTTAAATTTTCTTTCTTTTTTTTTTTTAAAGCACCACATGATCTCTTTTTCTCATGTGTTGCCTCTAAGTGATGAGTTGATGAGGGTGGAGGAAGCGGTTGGGCTGGGGCATTACTATGAAAGGCTATCTACAAGTGACAGCTCTTGCTCAAGAACTCAGTGTTTTCTTCTTGCTATCTTTTCTTCTACCAAAGAAAATGTTCATTAGAGGCATTATTATTCCCCAACACACCTCAGCTGCCACAGGAAGCTGCCATCGACATTCAGATCTCTTCTCACCACATTTATTACCCTGTCTCGTCCATTTTATCTTTTACTCATTCACCCTGAAGAGCAGAGCTCTTACCTGACCAAAATTTCCCTCTAAACTTTCACAATCACTTTTCCATGGGACAGCAGGGGGTGGTGTCAGAACGCCAGTTGGAGAATTGGTTCCCAGGATTGGTCCTGGGCAACGTTAGAAAATGCTGTTTATCTTTAGGCCCTCCAGTTCCTTTCATTGATTTGTCAGCTATTTATTGAGTGCCTGCTGTTGTGCTATGCCTGGGAGACTCAGAGGAAAGAGAACAGACACACCATTCCCGCCTTCGCGAATATTCCATATCCTGCTCGTTCTCTTTGGGGCCTGTTTTCTCCTCCTTTGCTCTTAGTGGTTTTTAGGCTCAGGCTCTTCCTTCCCTACAGTTAAAAGTCTGGGACAAGGACCTATTGAACTCATTTTCTGTACAGATTAAACTACTCAGGATGTTTCTTCTCCTGGGGGCGTTGTATTTTAACTGAAAATAAAGTTTCCATCCAAAGTAATTTGTAATAACCCTTGTAACAGCAATGAGGAAGGCGTCCCAGGTATCTAGGAAGCCCCATCACATAGGCAGCTTCCTCTCTCACTGACAAAGGCCGGGAGGCTTTCTGATCACAGCCTGGTGGGAGGGGGGGTACCATCTTTACAATAATGAGAGCCCCCATTCAATGAGCAATCTAATGTGCCAAGTTCTTTTTTAATATTATTTAATTTAAATCTTTGAGGAGCCCTATGAGATACATGCACATATGGTACTTTACATGTATTTTATCAAAAAGAAAATGGTGGCTCACGGAGACAAGTGGAAAACTTGGACAAAATTCAGGAGCTGACGATCCTGAAAAGGGAAACACTGCTGAAGCATAAATTACAAGTAGGTTTTCAGTTCAGTTTCATTAGATATATATAAAAACGACACTTTGGGAATAGCTAATCAGTTTAGTAGGAATACTTGTTTAAAAAGGGGTATTCAATTTATGTCTGTCTCTCTAATCTTGGGAAGCATCTGCCTAAACAGAGGTTCTAAAGTTACTTTCTTGATTACATTTTTCCATACAGTACAATTGAGGGTTGGTGTAATTTCAGTTTTTTGGAGCTTTTGAAAGGAGACTAGTCAGATAAGCATCCGATTATTAGATTAATTTAGCTCTTGAGATAGAGCTGCCTCAAGGGGAAAATCCTTTGTCTTTTGGAATTCAGCTGCACGGGCTGAATATCCCCATAATTACATAATGCAAAACTCTTTCTGTAGAGTAAACTTAATTACAGAATGCCAGAATTGAGAATTAAAGAAGGATGTAAAATAAGATCTGGCTGAAGACCTCAAGGGATTGGAGTTCACAATAACTAGTAGATTAGAGACACCTGTTTCAAATGGTCCACCCTATTTATGTTTTGCTTTGTTTTAACATCTTAAACTTCTTGGATTACCTCATGGTCATTTGGCAGAAGTCCATCATAAGAAAATATGGATTATTTGTAGATATAGCCAAATTTTTCCTGATGAGAACATATTTGTCTTTTAACAAGATGTTTGCCTAGGCATACTTCTCTTTTCTTGATAAAAGAAAGAAGACATGGATAACATAAATCAATCTCAGAGAGCCAGGGCAGACAACTGGGTCATCATCAGGTAGCTTATTCCAAGTTTTTAGATGTGTCATTTCTTCCTCCTGGAAGGCATCCACATCACTTAAAAGGAAATGCAATGTGAATATCATTTACTCGAAAATTCATACCTGTGGTTCTGATTCTAAGTTGATTTTGAAAGGATGAGCCTTCCCATCTTCAGTTACCTGTGGAGACCACAAGCGAGTGTCTGCCCTGTAAATAAAATAAAGTTCATAAATTCCAAATTCTAATGGAGCTTCCACTGTTAGCATACTTTAATTTCCTGTAATGTTTGTGAGACACTATCAACCCTTGCTAATTTAAGCAAAAGCAATATTCTTTGCTCATTACTCTTTATTCTCCCAAGCAATTAGTCTTACATTTTTAGTGTACTTCTGGGGAAACTTGGATGGATCATAATTGCCTGGAGGAATGCTATGGGCTGAATGTTCGTGTCCCCCCGAATTCATATGTTCAACCCTAATTCCCAATGTGATGATATTTGGAGGTGGGGCCTTAGGGAGGTAATTAGGGTTAGAAGAAATCATGAGGGTGGGACCCTCATAATGGGATTAATGCCCTTATAAAAAGAGGAAGAAACACAAGATCCCTCTCTCTCTCTCTCTGCGTTGGGAGAAAGTAGGTCTCCAATGCATGTGGTACAGGGTACAGGAGAGGGAGAATCTGGCGCCACACCCCGCAGAGGACCACACAGGCAAAATCCCCAGGTCTCCTCGACTTCCCTCCTAGCCTACCCAGGCCAGCACAGGAGACAGTGAGTAATTTGCCAGGTGAATTTGCTGTTGCCATCAAGGAAACGTGCTTTGTCCAGTCCTTCTGATGTAGCTATTGGGACTGTGCGCTCTTGAGGGGCTGTGTGTTTGGCGGGAACACAGGTTATGCACAGACAGGGAAAGAATCAATTTTACCCCATGAAATGACAGATTGGCTGGCTGGCTGTGCCTTCTGTCCCACAGCAGGGAAAACCGTGAATACAATAGTAACAGGATAAACTCACAAACAACCACTATTAAGAAACGTGATTTTCACAATTCAGTTTCACACTAGGGCTCTGATGCCAAAAGATCAGGTTCAATTTCCTAAATTTTTTTTTTTTTTTTGGTGAGAAGTCTCATTATCTAACACACTCATGTGCACGTGCACATGCACTCTCTCACCTCATGAGATTCTTCTGGGCTGAATTCTGTAGAAAACAGCCAATGGCATACAGGATATTAACAACCAATTTTTAACATGATCACATTTTGGCAAGTGGATTCTTTTAGGAGAATCTTTACATTCCATTCCATTCTCTACCACATTTAGAACAGCAGTACAACTAGACATGCTGTTCAGGGCTTATGTGGCCAGTACCTTTAATGATTCTATTTTTATAGTCAATTAACTGGGTTAGTCCAGGAAAAAATATTCTTTTCGCCTTTCATTATTCTGACATTCCAGAGAATTCTTTTTAGACATAGTTTGTTAATAGCTACTGGATCGACTGACTTCATTGAAGAACAGACCAAAGTGGCTGATATATTAAAAAAGTCAGCCAAAATTCTTGGTCCTGTCATACCCCTTTACACTGGGAGGATGAAATCATTTGTAGCTCTGGTTCAGGTTCTCCTGCAAAACAGATCAAATTTTAACACCATTAATTAAAGGGTACCTGTCAATTTTGAGACACAGTTGGTGTGCTGCTGCTTTAATCCTGTCCTGTGCATCAGCATGAGTCATGGACTCTGTACCAAAGCCATCGATAGCCAGGATGACATCTCCAGGACACAGGTTGGCAGCTGCCGCCTTGCTTCCTGGAGTAATCTGGAAGAAATCATGGCACCATTTAAAAACCAACATTCTGCAATATCTTGAATTTTGTGCCTGACATTTATATTCAAGCTTGGTAACATTTTAAATGTTTCACTGGGCAGGAAATTTTAAATGTAACTTAAAATAATTCTTACTTGGTCAATTGTGTTAGCTCTATTTTCCCATCATGCTAAATAATTTTGTTTCTTACTAACCACATTTCATCTATCATGACATCTCTTTTAGAACATCTTTCATCACTCCCCACTTGAATCATATTTTCTTTCCTTTAAACAAAATAATTTGCTTTTAGTTTTTTTTTTTGTTACCCAGAACTCGCTAATTGGGAATAGAACTTTACTAAATTCAGCGAGCTTTTATATTTGTATTGAAACTGCTTTAGCATCCTCATAAGTTGTGATCTTTAAAATTCACATAAAGGGGCATCTAGGATGTAGAAAGCTGGAAAGAGAATCACTTTTGTGCTAATAAAGGGAAGCCATATAATATACAAACTTATAACTTTTCACGAACTCTTCAGGGAGCTAAAGTTGCAGGGCAAGCAACTAGCCTGGACTCTAAGGAAAGACAGGTGCCTCCAATGAAAGACAAGATGTAAGGGTGGGCTCACTTGTGTCAGAGCACGGAGGAAGATGGGGCCACCATACTAAGAATTCAGCTAAAATTATGAACAAGTTGCTAAAGGCCGAGTGTGAGTTAGCATTGTGAGTTAGCACCGAGAACCCTGGGGACCACAGACACAAGAGAGGATTGCATTCACTCACAGTCTCTTTGGCGTGAATGAAGAATGGATAGAACAAATAGAAAACAACTAACAAGATGGCAGATTTTAATTTAACCTTATCAGTAATTACATTATATGTAAATGATCTAAAAACATATCACCTTCTTTTTGTTTAACAGAGATTGTTCCATTAGGTAAAAAAAAAACAAACCAACATCCAATTTTATGCTGTCTACAAGAAATCCATGTGGGTTCCTTTTTGGGGGGGGGGGAATGATATGGGAAATAATATGAGAAAAATGAAAATGGGAAAAAAATGGTTGTTAAATGTTTAAAAAGTGCAAATTTGAAATTACTATTGGGTATTCGGGTAAAGACAACGATTCTTTTGATTGCTATACCTATTCCCAATTTTTCTGGGTAAATCCCAACTATTTACCACTCCCTAATAGTCCTCATCCTGTCTTGCCCTGCCTACTTCTCTAACATCATCTTACCCCATTCCTGTTCCCCCTTGTCCACTGCCCTGTAGCTATTCTGGTCTCCTGTTAGTTCCTCAAACAGGCCAAGCTTGTACACTCTTCAGGGTTTTCCACGCACTGTTATTTTTGCCTGAAATGCTTCTCCCTCTCTTCACCCAGTCGCTCCTTCTCATCCTTTAGGTCTAGGCTTAAATGCCACATTCTCAGAGAGACTTCCCTGAACATCTGAAGTAGCTTCTCCAGCCCCTTCTCCATTGTTCTCCCGCATTATACCCAGTTCCTTTGAAAACAATTTGTACTTTTATATTTGTTTATTTACTTGTGTATTGACTGTCTTCCCAACTAGACTGGAACTTCTTGAGGATGTGTATAATATTATGTATATTCCTGGTGCTTCACTGTGTATGTTCCAGTGTTCAGAATTAATGAATAATTATTGAAAAATGAACAGAAAGGACATATAAATCAGAGCTTATAAAACAAAAAGAGCTAGTCCCTACACACCCAAAGATGGTGGTTATTAATGTCAACCTATCCTTGTTTCGTTTGCAAGTTCCCACTAGCTAAAGCAGAATAATACAAAGGAGTTGACTTAATCCTCAAACTGCTCCAGGAATAAACTAGATTGTTCCTAATGCTTTACTTGAGGATCAATCATTCATTCATTTTTTTTTCTCTATTTGCTTAATCTAGCTATTGATCCTATTTAACTTTGTGGCCCTAAGGGAGAGCCAAGATTCATCTAAATGAATAAAAGTGCCAAAATAATAAATTCTCATGTGTCCTAGCTCTTCAGTCTCATCACTAAAATGTTTAGTGTGCTCACTTTCTTTCTGTAATCATCTCACTGTAGCAATCGTGATCATTTTCCAGCAGGAACAGTTGATAGGGGCTGGGTGAAGCGACTGGGGATTATCATATCTCAGCCTTTGGGAAGCACTGCATAGCTGTTTTCCATTTAGACGGTCTCCCAGACCCAGAACTGTTAGAAGAATAAAAGTTTCCATTCCCCACGTGACTTGTAGGGATAAAAATAATCTTAAACTTTTAATTTTCTCTAGCTATAGTTCATCAAAATCAGTACTATTTTTAAATCTCTAAGGCCACAATACTTTTCTTTGAGTAAGAACATGAGAAAGCACGGCTCAGTGTGTTTGCTTTTAAAGTCTCACTTAGCTTTCTAATACACTTAAATAGGTTTCAGTTATATAACACTTAATCTTGATTTAGAAAAGCCTACCAATATTTTTTAGCTCTGGTTAGGATAAGTGGAAGGTAGGGTTGTGTGTGTATCCTTCTATGTGAATTTTAAACAGAGACATCTGGTTGGCTGAACTTAGATACCAAATATTACTAAATTTTATTACCAGTAATAATATGGAAGTTAATAATGCCATCTTATATTTACCCAAAATATTACATTTGCAAAGCTTTTCCTAATAACCTTGACCACTGCAACAGCTCTCAGACAGGCTAGACAAAGAAGATTAGTTTTATTTTTCAGAGGAAGAGAAGTGTCTAAGTAACCTGTGGCTTTGTACTAAGTTGGGAGCAGCTGTACACCCTTGTCATCAGCTGTTTCAGAAGTCAAGTAGGATAGGAGTTGATAGTGCTGGCCAGAACCCACTTCTGGCTTTGCATTCAACCTGGTAACTGATGTCCTGGGACCTCCAAGGAGGGAGTTGATAAGAAGGAAAAGAGTATGTAGAGAGAGAAGGAGAAAACACAGTCCCTTCACTTCTTCCTAATTCTCAAGTTCAGCTAAGCTAGTGATTAGAAAATGACCACTAAATTGGCCTGGTTTTAGTAAGTTAAACTGTTTTTCATAAGAATCAATTATTTCCCAGCATTACTTTATTACTATATTATTGCTCACAGTTTATTATTAATATGAAGTCCCAAATTAAGAGATGAGAGAGAGAAAATGAGGCAAAGGGTTTTTCAATGGATTATTCTTCAGGTTCATTAGGGTCTCAAATATGAAAAACATTAGAGAGATCATTGGAAATAGTACTGCCGTCAATCACTTCACACATGTTTTCAAACTTGTCTGATTAGGAGAATCACCTGGGGTCCTGGCTGAGCATAAGGACTCTGATCCCCTCCAGATGCCTGGAATCACGAATCAGAGGCTCTAGGAGAGGACCTGGGGAATTTGTGTTTTTCCAAGTGCCTCAGATGATTTCTACTATTTACATCGACCTATTGCTTGGGTCCATTTGCAAAAAACTAATTTAAAACACAGATAAAGCATCTAGAATGTTCTATTTACTGTGGGAAGCATGAGGATTTCGAAATCCAAGATATGAGCCTGATGGGATTTTTATGTTAAGAATGACAAATGATTGAAATAGTTATGGAGCAAGATAATATATACTGTGGGGAGTGGATCAACATAGGGAGAAGCGCCACTGATCTGTTGTTCTCCGTTGCCTACAAATAAACTCCAGTCCCTTACCTGGCATCTAAAACTCCTCTAGCGCCTGGCTGCCATCTACATTCTTAGAGCTATACCCCACACCAGTTAAGTCAGAATCTCTGCAAGTGGTACCCAGGCATGGATATTTTCAAAAGTTATCCAGGTAAGTCTAATGTGCACCGGGGTTGAGGACAGTTATGGTATTGTTGTTATTATTGGAAGTGTATTATTGTTGAGAACTGTTATCTCAATTCTCAAGATAATCTTTTAAGATGAGAAAACTGGTGCTCATAAAGTATAAGAAACTTGCTCAGGGTCACACATCCAGTGACCAATCTGAAATTCCTATCTGGGTCTGTCTAACTTTATAACTCAAGCTCTTCCACTATCCCACAATGCCACTCCTGCAGATATTCTCTCTCCTGGATTCCTCCTATCTCTTTCGCTATACTTTTCTCCAGGAATACGGGGCAAGTTGTATGATGGTAGTTTATGCACACGTCCCTTCCCTTCTACTGATATACGAGCTTCTTAGGGAGTAGAAACCCATTACATTATAATTGTATCCTCTACAGCACCTTCCACATACAATACATTCTGCACTTAATAGATGTTTGTGGGATGTATGAATGTTATGAACATATGAACCAGCACTTCCATGTAGACACATCTTTTTAGTAGAACAAAATTAAATAGGTTTTTATTCACTCAACCTTCCTACTACACTTGAATCCTGGAAAAGGATGGCATTCAACTGTAAACATTTCTTTCTAAAAGTTCACATTTCAAATATAGTTTATATTAAAGTAATATACTCTTCTATGTTAAGGCCTGCAAAACTTAAGCATACACTAACATTCTCTATGTTGGTACTCAAGTCCACATAGATCTCGGTTACAGTGATGTTGATCCTGGGTGTGTTCTGAATAGGAAGGGAAGCGGGGAAGAGGAATTGAGGGGGAAAGGACCTACTGGCCTTGGATGTGTACAATAATTTTACATCATGGACATGAAAGAACCTTGAGCTTTATTCCAAATTGGACCATTTGTGCAAACAAACCATCTGTAACTTGGCTCTGATAGTAGCTCCACCTTCTGGGTGGTCCAAAAACTTAAGAAAGAAACTCCTTAGAACTTTCTTGCCAGAAAAAGAAAAGCTGCTCACTTAGAGATGTGAACCTTAAATTTATTCTGTGAAATGCTTAGGCAAGTTATATATGGTGTTGCAGTAACAACCCCCTTCCCCAAACTGAGCATCCACAACTTAAATTTATACTGCACAAAACATAGCACACCTATTGCCTAGAAACTGTTTCCTACAAATTGTATCACAACCAATTGCTAAAATTTTTTGAGAATGTCTGGTGTTTGATTTACCCTACTTCTGATGTTTTTTATGACACAAAATTTCACCTGGCTGATTAATTGGACTGTAAACAATTATGAGGCAGGGACCCCTTGTCCTAATTTTGTGAGTTGTAATTTCAATTGATGGAGAGAGTTACGTTTGCAAACCCTCCTCCCAATTCTGGGGGAGGGGAGGACCACTGTCGAGGAGCATTGCTGTATTCTGCATTTGTAGAGTGTAAGGCGGGGGGGGGGGGGGGGGGGGGGGGGGGGGGGGGGGGGGGCGGGTATTTGTTATAGGAGGATAAAAATTGATTTAATTGACTTGAGGAATACATCTCATTTATGGGAATTTTTGTGGCATTAAGTGCAGGCATTGATATTTCAATTCATTGCATACTTAAGAACTTATCAAAAACAGACAAATCAATTAACAATAACACAGTTGTAATTTTTCTATATTGTGGAATATTTTTGAGTACACAATCTCTACCTATTTATGATAAAGTCATATAAAAAGTGAACAATCATCCATATTGTGTCTATATTTATTCTATAACATACATGATGTAAAAGCCACCGTGCTCAGCACTGAGTAGCCCCCAAATTTGAACATTCCTGCCCTCAGGGAGCATGCGATTTATAGGATATAGATGTACTCAAACATCTGTGGTACAAGGCATGCTATAAGGAGAGGTTGTCAGTCAAAAGCTATGATAATCAAATGGATGAAATGCTTATTACTGGAAGAAGCCTACCAGAGTGGTATTTGAATGGGTTTCCACAGGCATAGAGGACAGTGGGGTGGGGTGGGGAAGAGAATTGTGGAGAAAAATGATAGTAGGAGCAAAGATATGTTAGAGAAATCGTAAGTAGTCCAGAATAGTGGCACCACTGCCTACTGACAGAGTGAGAGGAGGAAAGGGAGAGGGAAGGTAGAGAGAGGGAGGAAATGAAGTTGGAAACTTGAGTTGGGATAGAGGGTGAAAGCCATGAATGTGTGCAAAGACCACACATTTTATTCTCTGTAAACTGGTGATGCCATTGAAAGATTTTTAAGAATGGAGAAGACAGGAGTAATCTTGCATTTCCCAAAGGTGGCTGGTAAGAACATGCAGGGTAATTTGGAGAGGGGAGACAAACAGCTGGGTGTGAAGTTATGAAATGTTGAATAGGGACAGTGGTGGGAAAAAAAGGAAAGTGGTAGATCTCAAAGATGTAGAATCAATATGACCAGGCGATGAATTGGATGGCACAAAACACTGTCTGGAAATATCTGTACAACAAGCAGACTTTTTCACATGTGTGGACTTCAGAAGGTAGGTTTCGGAGGCAGGTAGACCTGGCATCAGATTCTGTCCCACCACTTGTGATCGTTGGCAGGTTAATGACACTCTTAAACCTCATTCTCCTCATTTGCCAAAAGGGGTATTATTACTACTCCTCTCACAGGATTATTGTGAGATTTAAGTGAGCTGGTGCATATAAGGGGCTTAGAAGAGTGTATGGCAAACAGAGAGTGTAATAACACATATACAACCTTTTCACATAATATAAAAATTATGAAAGTAATGGAATAATTCTACTACCTAACTCCGACGCTCATTTTTTTGTGTAATATCATCTAGTCTTTTTCCAAATGACTTTTAGTATTCTTTTTTTTAAAAAAAGATTTTATTTTTTCCTTTTTCTCCCCAAAGCCCCCCGTACATAGTTGTATATTCTTCGTTGTGGGTCCTTCTAGATGTGGTATGTGGGATGCTGCCTCAGCGTGGTCTGATGAGCAGTGCCATGTCCGCGCCCAGGATTCGAACCAACGAAACACTGGGCCGCCTGCAGCGGAGTGTGCGAACTTAACCACTCGGCCACGGGGCCAGCCCCTGACTTTTAGTATTCTTACAATTTCAGTGGAAATAGTCTCAATTAGGTGTTCACTAAAGCAAAAGAGTTCAATTCAGTATGCTTTTATTTATTCAACAAGAATCTACCATGTGCATGATTTCGGGGACACTTGGAAAACAAAACAGTTTAATGTGCTCTCCTTGAGTTAAATTAATTGTAGAGAAAAGGCGAAGTCAAATGAAACAATCATATATAGTTGTGCACTGTTGTTGAGCCAAGTGGCAACATGAGTGATACAAATTAATTATGAGTTAAATATTCAAACAAGAATGGGTTTCCCAAATAATAACCCATTCTATCAAATACAGTCACCAATAGCTCCTGCAGTCTCATTCCAAAATGGAAGCACCACTTTAAAATAACATTGGTTATAATGTCAGCAACTCAACACTTCAAACATAAGATTAATCACATTGACATGTTACATAATAGTAGCAAGATATTTCTTTTACAAATCATTTAAAGGATTTTTTGTGACAAGATTATTTCTTTAGGATTTAAGATAAATATGATTTATCCTTTGTTAGGGTTCAAGAGCTTATTTCATTTAATATAAACAAATGAAAACTATACTTCAGGAACCTTAAAAATATTTCTTAGTAGAGATAATGGAAACTGTTTTCTTTGGTAAAGCCATAAAAGGCATTGCTTGGCCCAGATGACTGAATCATTTTCTGCTTAATTTACTCAGGAACATTTTGGGGGGTATGTTAGGTTTTCATGTCTCCTACAAAAACACATGTCAGATGTGTTTATACGTTTTTGAAAAGTGTAAAACAAAGCTTGTAGTCTTCCATGGTATGTGTCTGTATGATATGTTTTGATACATTTTAAAAAGACTTTAGTTCCCAAATCTCATAGATGTATAAGTAGAACAGAATTTAAAAAGAATTGCTTTGTCAGAAATCTATGTGAGTAAATCAGATTACAAAGAATACATTTCTAAAATACAGTATAAGCAGTAAGGAAGAAAAGAAAGTATAATAAAACTATAATATTCTGAAAGTTTATGCTTTTAAATTAGGTTTCATATGCTTTTTATGCGATAATTGAAATAATAACAATAATTTTCTATTAAGACAAACACGTGTTAGAAAAAAAAATCAACTAGACCAACTAGAAATTTATTGACCAGACAGAAATCCTGAAGTTTCCTTTTCCTTCTTTTTCTAATTAGACAATACTCTGGGGGATATTAAGTAAAAAAAGCTTGACTTTGATAATAAAGCATTATTTTCAGAGTTAGGCTGGTGGTGACGTTTTCCATCAGGCAAACTAAACCATCTGACACGTTTTCTTTGTAGTTTGAGTTATAGGTGATAATTCCTAAGTTCTCAGCTTTGGAAAATATTTATTCAAAATGCCTGGAAACCTAGGAATACCGATTAGTAGTATTTTCCCTGTCTCGGCTGATACGAGCGGTTCCAACTTGGCCGACCCAGGTTGGGCTCTGCGAACAGCGCCCTGCTGAAGTTTTCATCCAGACAAGAAAAGCGGTTAGATGCGTGTCTAGCTCCAAGAAACAATCGCCTCGCCTCTGCTTGAGGACCCACTCTCCTGCGTTACTGAGAGGGCACCGGGGGTGGAGGGCGAGAAGGCACCCGGTCCTGGCAGCCTCGGCTTCTCTGAGCCCAGGGAAATCACGCAGTCCGTTCACCTGTCCTCGGAAAGTTGCTGGGGACCAAAAGGATGCCGAGAGACCACTGGAGCTGACTTGGTTAAATCTCTAAGCTGCTCTGCATCCTCCAAACCTGTTTGCGAAGTTGCTTCTGCCCCTCGAACTGTGAGCCCCAAGCTGAGGACCCACCCAGCGCACCCGGGCTCACTGACCACTCTCCGCCGCTCCAAGGGGACCCGCCAAAAGCCAAAGTCCCCAACTTTTAGCAAAAGAATGGAAAACACCTACCCTGGTGATGACCAAAGGCTGGTTGAAGTCTATGCCCCCAGAGAGTCTGAAGCCCCAGGGCGCGGGGCCCGGGAGGATCACGTTCTGGGGCATGGTGTCTCCTGGCGCGGCCTTCCTCGGGCGGGGGCGCCTTGGCTCCCAGGGACTGGGGCGCAGCGAGGGGCGGCCCTGCCCACGGCGAGTGTCCCCGAGTGGGACAGCCCACTCCGCTCCCGGGGCAGTGTCCTCGCCTGGACTGTGGCCCAGGAGCTTTATCCCTTCTCCCGAGTGACGTCACTGGCCTACTCTCCTCCCCGCCCCCTCCCACCAAGGAGAGCTCCAACTTTGGAAGAAAGAGACGCGCCAGACCCGCGGGAGTTCACGGCCGCGCACTGGCCGGGGGCAGCGTCCCAGACCCTCCGGGCGCGCGCTGGAGGAGGCTTCGGGTTACAACTTCCATCACCTTCTTAAAGTAACACCTGTCCTCCTGTTTATCTTCTCCTTGGAGGTCAGCAGTGCGCTTCGTTCGAAGTTAAAAACAAACCACAGCCTCTGTGCTTTCAATTGAAATAAAACGCAAGCACCATTAACGTAATTATTTCGCAATTTTGAGTGCGATAATATTTACTTACCAGCTGTGTGACCTTGGTTAAGTTACTTAACGTCCTTAAGCCTCAGTTTTTTCATCTGTAAAAGAGGGATAATAATTGTACTTACCTCGTAGGGTTACCATGAAAATTGTACCTCTGCACAGTGAAATACCATGAAAATGGGCTGCGTCTGCACAGTGCCTGGCATAGCATAAGCGCTCAATAAATATTAAGCATTTGTGCAATTAAGTACATATAGTAATATATATTTATGGGTATACATAATATACTTAATTACATAAACAAATATATTCAAAATTTATTTTTTAAAAACGAAGAAATCTGAGTGAAATTGTTATACAAACATACACCCAATCTAACGAACCATTAAAAGTACATATGAACAGATGGTTAACCAATATACTCAAAATATAGTTTAATTTTGATTGGAGCAATTGTCACCTCCCTCAAATTCAGTCTCTAAACTTGTGTTTTTGACACATCAGAGGCAAGTGTAACAAACGTAGGAGTGGAGACTGCCCCCTGTGGACGCTGCAGCCAGTGTGAGGATGCTGAGTGGAGTGTGAGTAAGATGGACTGAGAGGCACCCCAAACCAGATGAAATAGCATAGAGGAAAAGGAGGGGGACGAGTATTCATTGAGCATCTCCACGGTCCCGGTGCTGTCACCATTGCTTCAGGCCTGTGATCTTCATTCTCATGACAAGTCCATCAGATTGCTGCTATTATTCCCCTTTTTTTTCAGATAAGGAAACCCTTTCTTAGAAGTGGAATTACTTGCATAAGATCATGCAGTTAATAAGTGGTAGGATTGAGATCACAAACCCAGGTCTGCTTGGTGAAGGTATAAAGATCAGGAGAGTGTGGGGAGGGTACTGTTGTAGTGTCAATGTGGAATCAAGTATTTTCGGTGTTATACTCCAGAATGTTCTGATTCCCAATGAGTGAGGGAAGAAGGAAGGGAGAGAAGTATGAAATGCTTTAAAAACCTAAAAGTGAGGGTCTTGGACTTAATGCCCAACATGATAGGGCCATATCGGTCCAGGAGAGCAGAGCTGCCGTATGCTTTCAATAAAGTAGTCTGACTGGAAGTGGTTTTAAGACTGATAGAGAAAAGAGAAAAGAGATTCAGGAAGCTGTAAGCAAAGCAAGTGGACCAGCCTGGGGACAGTGTTAAATCACAAACCCAGGATTGATACTACTATGCTCACGGTCGTGGATGACGTAAAAGTCCCAGAGGATAGGTGTTTTCCAGTGCCCCACCTATGTTGGGTTATCAGGGAAATAATCATAATATATTCTTGTTGATTTTGCCTATTTGGGCTGGCTATTTTGTGCAAAGCACATTTCCTCTCAGTCACTGGTACACGCACACACACTCCCCCCTCCCCCCACATACCCCCAGAGGTCAACGGACAGAAAAAAACCAGGCAAGTTATTTGGTACAGTGTGATTGTAATAATCAATTATTTATACCTTACCTCATGAGCTGGCTTATACAGCCAGTCAATGACGTGTTTTGTTTTTTGTATTTTTTTTGTTTTTCTGCCTTTTTGCTGGTCATTTTGACTTCTGTTAGATGTGAGCAACATCTATATGACATCAACATAATACCTGATGAATTTTCTTTTTTAAAGCTAGGGAGGTAGCTTCCCGCCATATTGTCATTTCTTTTTGTAATTTTTTTTTGTTTTAAAGATTGGCACCTGTGCTAACATTGTTGCTAATCTCTCTCTCTTTTTTTTTTTTCTTCTTCTTCTCCCTCAATCCCCCCTGGCACATAGTTGTATATTCTAGTTTTGAGTGCCTCTGGTTGTGCTATATGGGATGCCACCTCATGTGGCCTGATGAGCAGTGCCATGTCTGTGCCCAGGATCCAAACTGGTGAAACCCTGGGCCGGCGAAACCCCGGGCCACCGAAATGGAGCATGCAAACTTAATCACTTGGCCATGGATCCGGCCCCTGATGAGTTTTTAAGACTTTGCAGAGAGCATGGGAGGTGACCATAACAAAACATAGGAGTTGAGAGTGTTCCGTGTGGACTCTGTGGCCAGATTGAGAGGGCTGCTTTTGGTTTGGGTTCTGTCCCAAGAAGAAGTCCTTTTGGGATGAGCTTTTCATTTATTTTCTTTTTATATTTCCCTTTTTAAAGGATTATGATAAACTCCCTATGATTCCGTTAAATATTACTTTGAGGATTATTTTAAACCATGTTTAGACAGTCCTTTAACTTTTTCCTTTGAGTAAAGCATCAATAAAACTGTCCATTCTACTCTTATATAACCAGAGAAACTTTCTGTTCGTTAAAAGAATCATCTCTCCTACTCTAATTCTCAAATCCATCATTTTGACCTTGAACTCTCATCTATTTTCTGATCCTGTTTTTCTAACCACCAATTGGTACAAATACAATTCAACCTGTACAAAACCAAACCCTTATTTTCTTTACTCACCTCAGACTGATTTCCTGGCCTCTGTCCCTTTCAATTTCCTCATTTCTGTTCATTTTTCTACTGTTAATCTAGGATTCTAGGATAGATATTGTGTTTTCTCTTCTTTATTTCCTTTATATCAAATGTCACTATGTATTGTGGTTTCTTTTATTCACTCATTCATTCATTCAACAAGCATTTATTGAGCATCTATGACGTGCCAGGCACTGGGAATGCAAAGATGAATAAGACCCACTTTCTGTCCTCTGGGAGCCAGTAATAAATAAGGGAGATGGAGATGGAATACGCGGTCACATAAGGTGATGAGTGCTGGGACAGCAATTTGTACGGTGATAGAATAAGAATAAAGGAATCAACTCTCCCTGGGGAAAGCGTCAAGGAAAAATTTCCAGAGAAAGGGATGTCAGAGGTGGATGCTGAAGGGTAGGAGTTTCCTAGGTGCCTGGGAATTGGAAGGAGAAAAGGAAGGAGGACATTCGACAGAGGATGTGCAGTGGCAGAGATGGCGAATCAGGAAATATCAAGTAATTTGGTATAGATGGATCTTCACACATGGGGTAGGGACAGGAGACAAGGGTCATAGCAGTCAGGAGCCCTCTCAGGGAATTTCATATGTTACACTAAAGTTTTGACTTTATCCCATTGGGAACCTTGCAAGAGTTTTAAGGACCATGTACAACAATCATATTTGCATTCTACAAGCATCGTTTTGGACGGTGGGAGGATGAATCACAGTTGCAGGAGGCAGGTAGTTCAGTTAAACCTTACTGTACTAATCCAGAGGAAGACGTTGATTTGGGCAGTGGGGATGCAGAAGAGTGGGCAGCTATGACAATCATCAAGAAGGTTAATTGATGCAATCTGGGGACAGATCTCACCTGGAGGATTAGGGACAGTTTAGGAGATCTGATTGGCTCCCAGACTTCTTCATTGGGTATTTTGTGAATGGCGGAGTGATTAATATGGAGAAAATATATAAGAAGTATAGCAAGATATTTTTCTTTTAATAAGGGATGGAAAAATTAAAGCACAGCTTTGGTTATTCTGGGCTTGAAATACCTGTGGAATATCTGTGCAGTGTAGTGCACTGGTTAAAAGAACAAAATTTGGAGCCGGACTGCCTGGGTGATATCCTAGCTCCATTGTACTCGCTGTGTGATCTTAGGCAAGTTATGTAACATCTTTGTTAAAATGATGATAATGATAGTACTTGCCTCCTAGAGTTATTGTGAGGTTTGCATGAGTTAATAAGTATAAAATACTTAGAACTATATCTGGCAGAAGCTAAGTGCATGCCATCATTTGCTATTATATTATTAGTGGACATAGTAGAGTAAGCAATTGCACACATAAATGCAGAGCAGTTGGATATAAATCCAGAGGTCTGGGCTTGAGACGAATATCATACAGCTATAGAAAGAGTTGTAGCTATTTTTTAAAAAGTGGCTGCAAATTGTTTGAAAGTCCTCATTTCAAGATGTGGCGCTTATATCCCCTCCTCTTAAACTCGTGTATATATGTGACTCTTATCTTACCAATAAAATGCGGAGGAAGCAACATTGTGTGACTTCTGAGGCGAGGTCAGAGAAGGTGATGGAATTGCTACCTTGTTGATTATAACACTTGTGGCTGAAGCCCTCAGCTGCCGGGTAAAAGCTCTGAGGTGCCATGGGGTGAGGCAGCTCAAGCTGCATGGAGAGGTCACGTGTTGGTACTACTATTGGTAGCCTCAGACCAGGCACCAGATATGTGAGTAAAGACCCCTCCTTCCAGTTCCCAGCCCTTACATCACCTCCAATCTCTGAGTCCTTTCAGCTGAGACCCCAGACATTGTGGAGTAGCAAAGAGTCATCCCCCCGTACCCTTTCCAAGTTGTTGAGCCACAGGTGAAGTGACAGTTGAATGCTAAGTGCCTATTACATCTGATAATTGTGATGTTACAGGTCTGAGAGCAGCGTCAAAGTAATGGTGAGGACAGAAGCAGACTGCCATGGTTTGAAGAATAATGGGAGGAGTGGCAAATATAGACTACGTTTTCAAGGAATTTGTTAATGAAAGGGAAGGGGAGACCAAGTGAGGATGATCAGTGGAGGGGAATACAGGTCAAGAGAATGAACTTTTTTTTAAAGATGGGAAGCTTGGGGATGTTTGCTGAAGTCAGAGGAAAGAAGACGCTGACGAACCAGGAGGATGTGAGTGAAGCA